TGGGGGCCGAGGCGCCGTCGGCCGAGGCGCGAAGAAGGCCGCCCAGGAGAAGGCGCCGAACGACGCGGTCGTTCCCGGGGTGAGTTCGACCAGTTCGAGACGCAAGAGCTCGACCAGATCAAGCGTGTGGTCTCATTTATTCAAGAAGGTGTAGTTGACTGTTACGATGGGGCAGCGGCAGACCGAGGCGGTTGCGCTCGCGGCGCTGCCGGTGCCAGGGGCCGCTGCGCCGATCGCGAAGAGCGCGCCGATCGCGAGGATCCGCGCCCGCGTGAAGGCGCGTGCGGAGTCGGCGCAGGGCGCGGGGGCCTGCGGCAATCGCGCGGATAACGACGTCGAGGGCGCCATCTCGCTCGCGTCAATTGTGGGGCTCGCGGAGGGCTGCGTCGAGGCGGGACCGAGCACTGGCGCTGCCAATCAGAAGAAGCTGGGCGAATTGCGCAATGAGGTGGCCCAGTATCCACTCGCAGAGGTGGCCCAGAATTACCCCTTCGTGCAAGTGCAGGTTGCCCGCGAGAGCGGCACGGCCAAAGTGTTGATGACCAGCGATTTTCTTTGATCGCATTGTCCGATTGCTTGGTGCAGTTCGGGGCGGAGAAAAATATCAGATTTGTGCGCGCGTGAATTGCCTGGAGAGGGTGTGTGTCAGTTTTCCTTCTTATGAGCGGCGAGACGGACTCGTGAAAAGTCATGGTGGGAGGTTCGATTTGCAACACAATATCTCAGTGGAGGTCCTTTCGGGCACTCCCTCGAGCTGCTGTGCTGCGACGTCATCTGACGTGTTGGCGCACGCACCAGTGACTAAGAGTGCTTGGGGTGAGGGGTTCAAGCCGTCGGTGGCGTCGACGGCTTTGAGGGCGGCACTTGAGGCCCGCCCTTTCCCTGCTGCCCAGGCTGCCGCTTGTCGTTTTCCTTTTCCTTTTCCTCCTCCTCTTCCTCCTCCTCCTCCTTCTCCGTTTGAACGGGCTCGCGCCCATCGGGACGCCGTTCGGGTCCTGAAACATCAGGGTTTCGGTGATCGTTTGACTGTGTCCGCGGCCCTTCTCTTGGGGTCCAGGGGTTAGTTCGTATCGAATCCGAAGGTTTTGGAACTCTGGTAGGATGTGGCGGGCTGGAGGCCCGAAGCTCGCAGCAATGATGTCGGTCGTAGGACGCCGTCGCGGCGTGCGAAGTCGCTGTATGCTCCCAGTGGTGTCTTTCTGCTTTCCTCCTCCTCCTCCTCCTCCTCTTCCTCCTCGTCCTCCTTCTCCTCCTGGTCCTCCTTTTCCTCCTCCTCCTCTTCCTCCTCCTCCTCCTCCTCCTCCTCCTCCTCCTCCTCCTCCTCCTCCTCCTATTCCTCCTCCCCTTTCTTCTCCCCCTCCTCGTAGTCGTCGTCGTCGTCGTCCCCCCCCCTGTTCCTCGTCGTCCTCCTCCTCGTGCCCGCCCGTGCTCATTCCGACGGGCGCTGAATGCTTGTGGAGCGCGGGCCGTTGCCTCGGGCCCAAGGCGTGTGTGCGAGGCGCTGGCCCCAGAGCGCCTCGAAGTTGGAGGCGGCCGCGGCCGCCCGTATCTGATCGTCCTCTTCTTGATGCCGGCGAAGGCCGCGGCGGTGCGCGCGTCGGCGCGCCGCGGTCGGCCGACTGTTTGCGCCGCGAGAATCCCAGAGTCTCCTCCTCCTGTTCCTGCTGTTCCTTGTGTTCCTCCTCCTGCCCCTCCTCCTCCTCCCGTCCTCCTCCTCCTCCTCCTCCTCCTCCTCCTCCTCCTCCTCCTCCTCCTCCTCCTCTTCCTCCTCCTCTCAAGCACAGGTGGGCGGAGCGCGTGGTACCATTTGTTGGCTCTTACTCGCTCGCGCTAGCCCAGCTTCCCGCCTCCTCGTCGGCGCCTGGGGGACACCAGGGCGTCTGGACCGCTTTGGGAGTGGCTTCTCACAACAGCATCGTTCAGTTTCTCCTGGTGACGAAGGGGAGCGAATTCACGCTTTCAAGTATTCAGGGGCCTCGGACAGAGGCAAAACAAGCTGGTGGGTATCACTACGGTGTTTCGCGTGGTGCCGCTTCTCCAGTCTGGGCTACAGGTGGTGTGGTTCTGGAATGTTTCAGCAAGGGCTTACCTCATCAGCTATCTTTTGGGCATTTCCCAGCTCCGCCAGGGGTGGGTATGCAATTCGGTTTCTGGTGCTGGGGCCTCAATGTTTCACACGTCCAGCTGGAACCAGGCACCACCAGCTATAATGCTGGGAGGGTATTTCAGTTGCTTTTGGTGGCGGTTTTGGTGGCGGCTGTGCGTTCGAATTCAGCTTGATAGGTCAATTCCCATATTTGTACTTCAGGCGGTTCTTTTGCTTTCTCATCGGGTGGCCATCGCGGAGGTCATTGCGCTGGCGGCGGATTCCATTTGATGTGCGTGGCCTGGCGTGGAAGGCTGTGCAGAGGCTGTTTAACGCTTCGTGTGGGTGGATACTGGTTTCGGCAGTTATCCAGTTCCGGCGTGCCCCCAGCCGTTCTTTGCAACGGTGCCAGGATATTTTACTCGTGCACACTAGGGTCGGTCAGTGCCCTCTGCGACAAAGCTCCGTGTGAGACAATTGGGCTTCTTCAAGTCAAGTTGCGTCGTCCCTTTCAGGCTTGCAGAGTGGGTGATGGTTTCTTCCTAAGAAGGGGTACTCTGTCTGGCGGCTTTCAGTTATAATTCTGGAGTTCGGCCGGCTTTCAATGTATATTGGCGTCTTCTCTGGTGGTGCTGTGGAGGAGTGAACACATGTGGTGTTGCCGATGTGACCTGAATTAATTTTCTGCGCGGGTGTCTACTTCATGGGGAGGGACTCGTTCGAGGTATCAGTTTCGTTCCTCGGTCTTCATCGCAGTGCCAGGAGGGTGTCAGTGCTCATGTTCCTCAATTGCGCCGTGTTCTTCTTCGTCTGAACCGGCAAGGGAATGGGCACATAAGTTGTTTTTGGCATATGTCAAGGCGGTAATCCTGGTAATCCTGGTGATCCTCCTCCTCCTCCTCCGTGCAGTATCCGCCAGACGCGCCTCTTGCTGCTCTTGCGCATCAGCTTCATCGGTGACGGGGGGTCCAGGGTAATCAAAAGCGTCGTCCAGTGCATCGCCGCGGGAAAAAGGACAAGGCCATGTGCTTCATTGGTGGCGGGGTCTCCGCGGTGAACGGCACGTTCGGCAAGTGTATCGGAATCGCCGAGTTCGTGGACGAGCATCGGGACGCGTAGGGTTCGCCCGCGAGGCAGCGCTCGCAAGCCGAGCAGGCGTTCGAGCCGTCTGCGGAGGGCGGGAACGGGGCGGGTGCCTGCGAGGGCGGCCTCGCGAACTGGCGCGTGAGGGCCCGCCGCCCTCCTCTTGTTCCTCGGCCTCCCCCCGTGGCGGTCGAGCTCTGCGAGCCGGACGCGCCGCCCGCGTCCTCCGTGTTGCGGCGCCGCTGGCGCGGGCGGCTGCAGAGGAGGGAGCGATGGGCAAATCTTCCACCACCACTACCATGGGTAGGACGGGGGAAAATGGAGGATGAGGAGGTCCTCCTCCTCCGCCTCCTCCTCCTCCGCCTCCTCCTCCGTCTCCTCCTCCCTCTCCTACCTATGGTAGTGGTGGTGGAAGATGGGCCCATCAAGGCATATGGGGGGATGCAACGATAGGGGGGGACAGGCATACCCGTTGGTCGTTGAAGTAAGTATCTCTGGGTTCCCAGATCCCAGCCAACTTCAAGCGAGCGCCTTCCTACTTCAAGAACGGATGTGCTCATGCTGTGTTTTGTTATTCTCTGTGAGGGCCTGGGCCCAATCTACTTTAGCCGCCTGCCTTCTTCATATTTCTACCCACTTCTTCCGGCCGACGGGTATGGGGGGATCGCCATAAGGGGGAGATGCATCCAGGTCGATATATCCCCCCTCGTGCCAGTTCCCCCCGGTCGTTGCCCTTCAGACGCTCCCCCCCAGCCCCCAGGAAGAGGGTGCACCGGCAGAGTGCTGCGGCGTGGCCATGATGCGCTCGGGGTTTCGGGGCCGGGTGCGGGGTTTGATGTGTGGTTCCTCTCCTGGGGGCAGGCTCGGAACAGCTGCCGGGCTAGCAAAACGCAAAACAGTTCGGACCAGATCTCGTTTCTCACGCTCCACTCTCCTCTTTCCGCGCCCCTGTATTCTTACATTCGCCATTATTGCCTCCTTGTTATTGTGGTCCCGCTAGTCCTTCTCGTCCTTCTCCTCTTCATTCTCGTCTTCTCCCGCCCGTCGCTCTGTCCTAGTAGTCTCCGTTTTTTTCCTCGTCCTCGTCGTCACTTTCTTCCTGTTCCTCCCCCTCCTCTTCCTCCGTGTTCACGTCGACGTCATTCTCCCCGTCACCGTCCTCGTCTTGCTCTCCTCACCGTCCCCCCCGCCCCCCCTCATCCCTCATTATCCCCCCTCTTCTGCCTCCTCTTCGTTCCCCGCATCCCGCCGCCCCCGCCCCTCAGACCTCTCCTGCAGTTCTTGCCATACTTTCGGAAGGGGGTCCAGCTGAGGCAATGAGGGCGCCCCGGGAAGCCTCCCAAACATTCATGGACCTCGATCCTCAAGCCTGCATCCTCGAATTTCGATCCTTGAACATCGTTTGCTTCCTGGGGCTCGCCTGGGAAGAGGAGGCAGAGGAGGAGGATGAAGAATATAAGAAGTAGGAGGAAAGGAGAAAGAGGAGGAGAAGGAGGAGGAGGAGGGGGAGGAGGAGTGGAAGAGGGAGGGAGGGAGGGAGGAGGGAGGAGGGCTCAGTGAGGAGAGAGAAGGGAAGGAGGAGGGAGGAGGAGGAGGAGATAGGAAGAGTGAGGAGGAGGGAGGAGGGAACTAGGGAGGAGGGAGGAGGGGGGGATGAGGGAGGAGGGAGGATGGAGAAGGAGTGAGGAGGAGAGAGGAGGGAGGAAATAGGGAGGAGGGAGGGAGGGGGGAGGAGGGAGGAGGGAGGAGGAACAGGATTTTGGAGGAGGGAGCGGGGAGGGAGCCCCCCCCCGCCCTCCCCCTCCCCCCCTCCCGCCGCTCAGCCCCCCAGGGTGCGCTGGCAGCGGCCCAGCGACTGCGGCGAGGAGGGCGCGCCGGACGGCGCTGCCGCGGGCGCGCCCAAGAAGGCGGGCCTGTCTCCGCGCGCCGCGCCCTCCTCGGGGGCAACGTCACTCGGGACGATCGAAATGGGTACGGAAGCAATGGGTACAAAGACCGACAGCAGTACCTGTCCACTTTGAACAGGATTCGCTGTCCGCGCCGCCGCGGATGTTGTCCCTTGGAGACACAAGGCCGCCCGCCCAACAGCGGCCGCTGTCGGCTTTGGACAACATGTGTTGTTGGGCATTGTACCCATTTTCTTTGTACCCATTTCGGGCGTCCAAAGTCAGGCTGGGCTGTCCAAGACCACACTGGCAGATTGGATGTGGGCTCTGGGGCCTGACTGCCAGTGTGGCACTGGATGCCGCCAGACGCTGCGGTGAGGTCGGGCATGTTCCTCTACAGGAGGAATACTCCAAAGTGGGAACAATTAGTCTGGGGACGACTGTTTCCGACTGCTTTCGACTACTTCTGAGCACAATCTTCAGTTTTTTTCCAGAATCCGCCTGTAGGAGGACATGCCCGACTGAACGCTACGGTGAATCGGGCGATGGGATATATGCAGATAGCACCGAGCCTGGCCAGGCCCGTGATGCACCGATGCGAACGGGTGCACAGGTGCCTCCCTGGCCACGCCGGGGGGCCTGTGCACCGACCGTGGGCCCAGGACGTGTCTGTCTTTATGATATTCCAACCTACTTTAGCCTTGATCACCACAAAGAGTTTCGAGCACCAAGAAAGTACCGAATCTGGAGGTTTTCACGTGTCGGGCCTTGGGGAGCGATTGCCGTTCGACACTGTTTCGATATTGTTCTGGGTGCTCGAAATTATTTTTGGGATGTGGTCCTGAAGTACGATTGGGACAAGATAAGTCTGGCTTCCTCTGGTGGAGGGGCCGGGCTTCAGGTGCAGTCGTAAGTCCTGTATCAGTCTCCTGTAGATTCCAGTCCAGCGCCAGCCTGGCGCAGACTGGAGTTTGTTCTGGTTCGCCAGGTTTGGATCAGACGGACTTCACCGCCAGGACTGCCAGACTGGGCCCGCCATATTGGCGCCACATTAGCTTCGACCAGCCAGTCAGGGGATTCGAGGTTTTCGAGGTTTGAGGTTTTCGGGCGTCTTTGTCGGTTCTCGGCGGCTTTCCGGCCTCGGGGTGCCTTCCAGCGGCCGCGCCTCTCCGAGAGCATGCTTCGGGAGTGCCCAGATCGTACCGAACGGCCGCGGGGGAGCCGAGTTATGACCCGGAAACCGCGGGACCGCAATCGCCCATTGCCCGCCGATGGAGGCCTGATAGCCCACCCTGTCCGCGACTGTGCGGTTTCGCCATCCAGGGCCTATGACCGATCTACGCCGATTCCAGGTCGACGTTCCCCCCCGGGCCGGTCTCCCCCTGCCGATGCCCCTCATCTACCCAGCGCCGCGCCAGGGGAGGCGGCAGGTCGAAGAAAGGTCCCGGGGAAGGGGTCTGAAGTTCAGGGGGCCCCGCGTTGAATAAAAACATGCGTCGAAGGTCGAGGTCTGGTATTCAGGCCAGTCTGCAAGGTCTTCCTGTTGGTCCTTCGCTGTTCCGCGTTGAAGCTTCCGAAGGTCGCCCTTCCCCGCTCACGTCTAAGGACACCCTTTTTCCCAACCCTCCTGTGTTGGATTCGCGTTTTGAATAGAGCAGTGTGGTCTCCACCCTCCTTCTCCCGCCTCCTCGCTCCTGCCTTCTGTGCTCTCCTGCCGTCTGATTCCTGATTCCTGCCTCGCCGTCTTGTCTGTTGGGTGGCCTTGCCAAGGGCTTGCGCTCACTGGGGGGGGGCTTGCGATCTGCGCAACTGTCGCCACTTTCGTGGGCTCCTGGGAGGCCCAGCGGAGGTGGGTCCCACGCGGACCACCTCGGTACCTCGCCGCCCCCTGGGGGGCTTGCGATCTGCGCAACTGTCGCTTCTTTCGTGGGCTCATGGGAGGCCCAGCGGAGGTGGGTCCCACGCGGACCACCTCGGGATCTCGCCGCCCCCTGGGAGGCTTGCGATCTGCGCAACTGTCGCCACTTTCGTGGGCTCCTGGGAGGCCCAGCGGAGGTGGGTCCCACGCGGACCACCTCGGTACCTCGCCGCCCCCTGGGGGGCTTGCGATCTGCGCAATTGTCGCCTTTTTTCATGGGCTCCTGGGAGGCCCCGCGGAGGTGGGTCCCACGTGGACCGCCTCGGTACCTCGCCGCCCCTGGGGGGCTTGCGATCTGCGCAATTGTCGTCACTTTCGCTCCCTGTGGGAGGCCCAAGCGGAGGTGGGTCCCCACGCGGACCACCTCGGGACCTCGCCGCCCCCTGGGTGGCCTGCGATCTGCGCAACTGTCGCCACTTTCGTGGGCTCTTGGGAGGCCCAGCGGAGGTGGGTCCCACGCGGACCACAACGGACCTCGCCGCCCCGGGGGTGCGATCTGCCACATTGTGGGCTCTCCCAGCGGAGGTGGGTCCCACGTGGACCACCTCGGTACCTCGCCGCCCCCTGGGGGGCTTGCGATCTGCGCAATTGTCGTCACTTTCGTGGGCTCCTGGGAGGCCCAGCGGAGGTGGGTCCCACGTGGACCACCTCGGGACCTCGCCGCCCCCTGGGTGGCCTGCGATCTGCGCAACTGTCGCCACTTTCGTGGGCTCTTGGGAGGCCCAGCGGAGGTGGGTCCCACGCGGACCACAACGGGACGTCGCCGCCCCCTGGGAGGCTTGCGATCTGCGCAACTGTCGCTTCTTTCGTGGGCTCATGGGAGGCCCAGCGGAGGTGGGTCCCACGCGGACCACCTCGGGATCTCGCCGCCCCCTGGGAGGCTTGCGATCTGCGCAACTGTCGCCACTTTCGTGGGCTCCTGGGAGGCCCAGCGGAGGCACGTCCCACGCGGACCACCTCGGTACCTCGCCGCCCCCTGGGGGGGTTGCGATCTGCGCAATTCGTCTTTTTTCATGGGCTCCTGGGAGGCCCCGCGGAGGTGGGTCCCACGTGGACCGCCTCGGTACCTCGCCGCCCCCTGGGGGGCTTGCGATCTGCGCAACTGTCGTCACTTTCGTGGGCTCCCGGGAGGCCCAGCGGAGGTGGGTCCCTCTCAGACCACCTCGGGACCTCGCCGCCCTTTGGAAGGCGTGCGATCTGCGCAATTGTCGCCACTTTCGTGGGCTCCTGGGAGGATCTGCGCAATGGAGGTGGGTCCCACGCGGACCCGGGACCTCGCCGCCCCCTGGGGGCGTGCGATCTGCCACATTCGTGGGCTCCTGGGAGGCCCAGCGGAGGTGGGTCCCACGTGGACCACCTCGGTACCTCGCCGCCCCCTTGGGGGCTTGCGATCTGCGCAATTGTCGTCACTTTCGTGGGCTCCTGGGAGGCCCAGCGGAGGTGGGTCCCACGTGGACCACCTCGGGACCTCGCCGCCCCCTGGGTGGCCTGCGATCTGCGCAACTGTCGCCACTTTCGTGGGCTCTTGGGAGGCCCAGCGGAGGTGGGTCCCACGCGGACCACAACGGGACGTCGCCGCCCCCTGGGAGGCTTGCGATCTACGCAACTGTCGCCATGTTCGTGGGCTCATGGGAGGCCCAGCGGAGGTGGGTCCCTCTCAGACCACCTCGGTACCTCGCCGCTCCCTGGGAGGCTTGCGATCTGCGCAACTGTCGCCACTTTCGTGGGCTCTTGGGAGGCCCAGCGGAGGTACGTCGTACGCGGACTATTTTTTGGGCGCGTTTCTTTCAACGCCCCTGTGTTTCCATGTTGGATATTTGCCGTTCCTCTTCTTGCTGCGCTTTTCTGAAATCACTGCTGGGTGCTCATCTTGCGCACTGCGGGTCCTTCAGAATGCCAGTCAGCATTGTGTGGTCCTGAGCATAATCGCCACATGTATAGAAAAGGTTGGGTACGTCACAGGGTAATTTCCAGCTCCACCCGCTTGCAGGAATCCCTGGAAGGCTCGCTTTCGGCAGCTTTCGGCCCCGTTTGCTGTTGATCCTCTGACTTGGTGGAGGGGTTACGGCTGTGTGTTCTCATGGAGTGGCCACGTTCGGGGGGGACCAGGCTCAGGGGGGACGCATCGACCCCTCGTCGCCCATCCACCGCCGATGGGGGCCCGATAGCTCACCACTCCCAAGAACACGCGGATGCTTTCTCGGGGGCCTTTCTCCGATCAGTCGTTGACGTCTCGCCGATTCCAGCCCGATCTTTTCCCCCCTGAGCCGGCGCCCCCCCCTAATGCTGCCCCTCATCCCCTTGGGGCGTCTGGGGGGGACCTCCCGACATGCACCCGCCGCCGCGCGCCGGACGCTTGCGGAGCTCCTGCATAGCGGAAGTGCCGCCGCAGGGCCCACCTGGCCAGCTGGGGTGTCCTGAGGATTGAGGCGGAGGCGTTGGTGGGGAGGTGTCGGGCGGGGCTGGGTCAGGGATAAATCGTGTCAGAGCGTTTCACGACGCCCTCAGAGCGCTCCGGCGCCCGATCCGTCCTTCAGGACCTCCGGATCTGAGAGATTCAGTCTATCTTGGTCAGATTTTGTCCTCGTCCTGGGTTCGTGGTGGTATTCCCGTGGTGTTGCTCCCTCCTCCTCCTCCTCCTCCTCCTCCTCCTCCTCCTCCTCCTCCTCCTCCTCCTCCTCCTCCTACTCGTAAGAGCGACCCTTTGCTGGAGTGACCTTCGGTGTGGGCCCACAGTGGTCCCCCGAGCACGGGCTTGCGCGATTGGAGGTGGGCCCCCTGCGGCATCCCGAAGCCGCGCACCACAGGTCCTTCTTGGGACCGTTCTTTTCTCCCCTTGGCGACAACGGGCGTGACCCGGATGGGGAGGTGGGGGGGGAGGGGCCAGTCACGTCACGATTCGTGCAGGCAGTTATCCTCAACAAGAAAAGAGGCTCCTGAAGCCGCGCACCAAAGATCAGCCACGCGCAGAGGGGGGTGGGGGGGTGGAAGGCTTCTGAGGAGGCTACTTCTTGGAAGGCGTGGGCCTTGTCTGTAGATGTAAGGCTGGCGCCTTCCAAGAAGCAGCCAGCTTCCAAGAAGCCCCTCTCCCCCTACCTTCCTC